AGCAAACATTATGACACAATGCACCTTTTACTCAGTTGTTATCAGTAGAAGACAAATATAATGTAATACGGTGAAGCCGAGAAATAAAAAGTGTTTGTGACTTCACAGTGTCTTTGCTTTACACTGAGCTCCATTAGCTCAGCGACGCGGTTGCGCTGAGCCCCACCGGTTGGCGCGACAATTTGATCCAATTAGCCGGATCAAACAACATCAAACACTGACAGCTCGAAAAAATTGTCAGCAATTACAGGACCGTAAATATGCTTTGCGCCCAAAGTATACCATCAGTCAAAGATTTTTTAACAAATATGTCAATCGAAAATGTGTGAACCAAGTCCACAGAAATAGCAAAATACTGAAATTACCGTAGGCGGAATGCTACACGAGGTACTGTTTCCGAAGAACTTTGGCAACCTCACCAGCTAATTCTACCAGTTTGAAGAGATAGTGGCGCTGGAGGTCCTCAATAGTTGTAAAGGGATATATAGAAGATTCGATAAAAAAATGAAATTTCTGAAAATATCTTAGTTGTTTTCATCAAAAAATAAACCTTCTAGTAAACCAGTCAAGTTCTTCAAAATAAAGGAGTCTTCATGAAGAAACAGAACCACTTGACGTCCTCAAGTGGGATTAGGTACAATAAATAACTGTTCTATTCAAAATCTTCTCAAATATTATTTCGAATAAATAAACTAATATATCCAATATTCTGGTAGTTTGTACTGTAAAACACTTTTCCGTTCTAGGATGTAAAAGTCTCTCAGTTCGCGTCATGATTGGAAGGCATGGAATTTTTGTCAGTTTTCGAAAAATATTTCTGGAGTGAAATTTAAATTAGATCTTTTTTCACAGGAGTGTTGAAAAAAATATATATACCTCAAGGTAATACAATTATTGTTATATTTAACTACAAATTAAAAAATAATCGATCAGTTTAGTGATATTTTCTAGTTCTCTATATACAAGTGAAAATGATGTACAGCTGACCACACCATGGTAACAATTGTTTCATTTTGTATTACTTACACTTACGAGTAATACTTAAATATTTCGTCCAATGTATACAACTGCAAGGGAAGTAAAAACATAAAGGCGCGAAAATTACCAACGTAAAACCAACAAGAAATAAAATTTTAACAACAGTTCCTTGGATATTCTAGTGCGGTAAGGTTTTAATAACTAAGTAAATGTATGCTTTTGCAAATATCTTGCTCCTTTTTTTATAGTAGGTATTGCAGTCATGCAGCACCTACAAACGATGACTCGATTTTGCAGGAGAATGTGGCTATTTGGGCAAAAGCTGATATTAAGGGACTTTTCAGAGGAGCAAAATTAAACTTTGGCTATTTCTTTCTGGAACATTCGACTTGAAAATTTGCTGATGCTATTGACAAGATAAGATAAAAAGCTACAGAAACTGACAGCAAACTCTTGGCAAAAAGTTACAGGTTATTATAAAAGGATATGAACGTACATATGTGGTTCTAGCATGGCTTACTCTAGAATACTAGAAAAATGATTTTCGGCTGATTGGACTTCATTTGTACTTTACTTTATAATACTGGAATACTAATTAGTTATTAACACTGAGTACTGTTACTGTTTTTAGACTTATGTACCTAATATCTGGCGTTACAGTCGAACATTTGTGTTAATATACCGGGTGTTTCACGTAGGTACCTGTTCCACTCTCAAATATCTCAATGATTTTAAAACATAAAAAAACTGAAATTTGGCATGTTCATTATACTCGTATGTAACACAGTCTATTAAATGGATAGATTATTGGCGTCGTATTAGTTTTAGTTTCGCCGGACACGACATCAATTTTCTTTTTTCTAATACAAATGGGTATAGTATATATACATTAAATAGTGTCCTTTTTTGTCTCTTCAACGATATATCACATGATACGATGTTATTTACTTCAATGTTTTAAAACGACCTTAAAATACAAAAAACATGCATTTTCATGTATTTTCAAAAAAATTGAGAGGTCTTAGATCTGGAAATCTAGCAGGCCACCGAATTATGGCACAGGAAGTTCGTTTACAAAGAATTCCAAATAAATTTGCAAATTTGGATTTCCTTCGTAAAATTTAGGCCCGATAATTTCACTGATTCCACACCAAACGCTGATAGCTCAAATGTGTTGAAAATTAGTTTCTCCTAGTCAGTGAGAACTTTCTGAAGCCCAGTAATGGCAATTATGTCGATTCACAATTCCATTATTATTAAAACTAGTTTCATCTCACCATAAAATATTACTTATGATACCCTCTTCACCTGCCGTTAGTCAAGCAATAAATGCCAATCATTGTTTCAACATCTGGTGGGACTTAAGCTTGATGAAAATGAATCATGATATTGAGCCTTTTTTAAAATTCTTTGTATAAAGGAAGACCCAGATTGTTCTAAATTTTTTTGCTAATCTTACGAAATACATACAACTTTGGGTGTCTCTCTGGAAATGCTTCTTCGTATAATGTTCTGGATTGTCTTTTATTTCGCCAACACTCTCCGTAAATAATATCTAACTTTTCGGCATTTTCGTTTTCCATTTTTTGACACTACAATGTTTTATTTATTTTAATCTAGAAGTGATAAGCCAGAACATGAAAATAAGAGGAAACGTTGCTTGAGAAACGACACCGTATTATTTTTTTTTTAATTCAAACAATGCAAATTAAAAAAAAATGCTTTCTTTTATAGTACTACAAACTGTACTCTTTTACATTTACGAAAAAATGTTGATGTCATTTCCAGGGAAACTGAAACTAATAGGATGACAATAGTCTACTCATTTAATAGATGGTATTATGTATGTTGATCATGCCTAAGTTCAAATTTTTATGTTTTAAAATAATTGAGATATTTGAGTGGAACAGGTACGCTGGGACACCCGATATATTTATTTTTCACGATTTTTTTTTTGTTTAAAGCTTAATACGGATTCAAATTTAATAAACTTATGTTCTTGCTATTTTCTAATTAGTATAGATTTATAGTTCTATTTGCGATATAATAATTTTCAAACACTGGAGATATAAGTACAATATTAAACATTTGTAGTATTCGAGGTTGTTCAGAGTACTTAATTCGTGCATTAACTGTAATATACTTCGTCATAGAAAAACAATATTTCTGATATATTCTACATGGTAATCATTTTTTGTTACATTTCCATTAATCTTTGTAATGTTATTGGCACTATATTTTGATGCTGAAGGATTCACCACATTCGAGTGTATCGTTTCCAAACAAGTACTAGTAACGCCAACTTCGTTTGTATAGATGTTGTGAGCTACCCCACTAGGGTTATTTATATCACGGTAAACATGTTTGCAATCTTCACGGAAAGGTTGTAATGATTATATCAGGGATAGGGTATAGAGATGATGTGATAAGTAAATTTAAAACGAACTTTAATAGATACTCTACCTTATTCTACACAAACACTATTGCTAAATCGGTTATGGAAACTGTAAAAACATTTTTGTTAAAACTTGTTTGTTATTTTCTCGTCTTTTACTTTGTAACCATATTTTTTTATACATTCCTGATAACATATACTTTGTTGACAACTGAAAAACAGGGTATGTTATTATTATTATTAATTTAATTATTATTACTTTTACTTCTACTTGTGTACATACCATAACCAAGAAGTAACAAGTGATCTTTTAAGTAACAATCCCTGTAAAAATTTTATTAAACCAAGCTTAATTAGTTAATTACTAATTTTAACAAGGGCATTTCACATAGAATACTGCTTAAGAAATTGTCAAGAACACACATCAGACGAGATTCGTGGGGCTTGAGGCTTCCATGTAAGTAGGTATTTCTGTCAGTTTAGCAAAACTTTTGTTAAATGGCTTCATGTGAAAGGTCGGAGAAACCCTTCCATTCGGAAACTTTTTGGAACGAAGATAAGACAAGATTAGCTTGAGGAAATTGGGGTTCAATTTTAAACTAGTTGGTGAAAATTCTAAAATGTTGCATCAATTTTTGTGCCAGTCGGGCTTTTATTATTTTGAGAATACAATGAAATCGTACGCAAGATAGATAGGCTGTAGAGCAGGTGAATTACGCAAGTTTTGTAAATGCGCATGTTTGTTAAAAAAAGAAATAATATACGCCGTCGCTTTATTTATTTGTAAAATCTTGTTGTCCACTCAGATGGCGACTTCAGTTATAGGTGCCAATAAAAAATCTCATCAGACAAAAATCAACAACAAATGTTGTGACACGAATTTCATTAGTGAAAATTACGCTATGCCCTTACATGCTGGGTGTTTTCTGCAATTAGACCTCTTCCATTGTGGATTTTCTTGAAGGCGTCGCCGGCGGCACCGTACGAACGAGAAGATCTGCGCCGTATGGTAAGCTTTAAACAAACAACGCTAAAATAAAATGAAGGCAACGTGGTTCGAGTTCGGAAAAATTCGGAATACGTACCGAATCCGACATCAGTGTAAATACAATAAACACACAGAAATTGATGGTTGCCTATTCACAAAGACACGACACAGAAACCATCACTGAAAATGCCGCAAATATACGAAAATGGAAAATAGTTTAGGTTATGGAAAAACCTGTGGAAAACTGAAAAGGCAGGTCATGGCCGGTCCCCAATCATTCAATCGACGCTTGCGCTATTTTGCTCTTCTCTAACTTAACCTCGAGATGAAAGGCGCCACTGGGTTATTGTTTCAATGGCAAATATTTTGCTTTTTGAAATATTTTAGCAGTTTTTGCTTTGCGATAAGCGATGACTTGTGTTACAAGTATTTAAATAAAATACCACAACTGGAATAACGTAAGGTAATTACGTAATGTATACGTCCATACTCCATATTCATAACACTAAAAACATTATTATCGACTATTATTTTACATTTTCATATCCCTTCACACTGTTAGTTGTCATTAATAGCTCAAACGTTACAATTTACGAACGAGTGAATATTTTTAGAATTTCGTAGTATTTTTAGAAGTAAATATGCAATTTTAAAAAGTGCGTGTGTTGTAAAGTTTGCAACTTGTTTCGTTTTAACTTGAGTGTAGAAATGTCAATTTAATAATTCCATCGACCTTAACCTCGACTTATAATCTCGCTTAGCATTATAGTGTATACAATTGTTCAAGCTGACCTTGTATTTTTTGGGTAAATATTGTTCATTCATTTTTATACATTTATTCTACATACCTAATTATCAATGTTTGTAAACTTTTCTGTTAATAGTTGTTACCTAAATTACATATGCTGGTTTGGTAAAACAGCAGCAGGTATTATGTGTTTATTAAAGTGGCTTATGTTTGATTTGTAATTTTTTTTCGGTAGAGATAACCAGATTTATTCTATTTCTGTAGTTGGAAAATTGTCTAATAAAATAAGTAATAAGCAAAGTATATTTTTATACGCAATATTAAAGAGTAGTGATAAAATAGCGCATAAAATTCGTAAATTTTTATCTGTAAGTTTGTACCTACCATTTTCGTAATTTTTTTTTTCTATTGTCATAATTACATTCCCCTAACTATAAATGTCACATTAACATTTTTGTGAATGATAGTTTGTTCAAATTGAAGTTTGACATTTTTTAGATTGTAGATGACGTGAACCTGACATTTGCATTTTGGTGAATGTACTCAAGATCCTTAAAAGGTTTAGTACAGTTGCAACTTACGAAAGTCGTTGTTAAATTGTCTACAATGTTAAATAACCACTTAGAGTTAAATGCTTACACTCGATTCGTTTTTACACATCGCTCTTGCGCATGTTATTGATATTATTATTGTTTAGTCTGAATCAGTCTTTAAGCTAGATTATGTGGCGAAACTTTTTTTGATGGATTACTGGACTGTTTCAGAAACGTGAAGAATATATTAATTATTTTAAAGACAATTTTGATCGTACAAGTACTTAAAATAAACGAGGCTGTTAATAGAACACGGAAAACCATCATCGTGCCAAATGTAGCCAATACAACGACTACAAATAGAACACGAAAACTAGTTCTGGTCTCATAATACCGGGTGACTATTGTTATTAATGATTGAAAACAAATTTTGATTGGCAATTCTGAATTATTAGCAACAATGTTAGCATGTCAGTTTACAGTTATTAATTTTGATATGAACGCACCTAAAAAGTACTAAAAACTAATGAGAAGATGACAGCTACTGAATAATACAATTTTAAATATGTTGCCAACCTTACCAAAAAAAAAAATACGAACATTAACAGTGACTCGGGTTAAAATATAGCTCAAAGAATGTATAAAGTTTGGCGTATATTTGTTCTATTGTTCGTCCCACTTTGGATTGGAAGCAATGCTGGCAGCAAATATGGGACAATTCTGGACGGTGTTGACAAGTTATGAAAACCTAACTATTTCTGAAGAAGTTGATACATAAATCTTACACAATTTGTCATAAAGTTTTTACCATTCCGTATCTATTACTGCGAAAATTCCATTTTTTGTGTATTAAAATCTCATCTTTTGGTTCTGTTTGTCGGAATTTGAAGTCGATTTTAAAATATGATGTGATAAAAAATGCAGAAAAATGAATTGTAATAAATATAAATCGCTTTTGATCACACAACTCAAGAGTCGGTACGTGAATTTGGAAACTCTTGATCATTATGCATTTCGTATTGTGATAACCCAAACATCCCGCCTTAAATTGACATGTGAAAAGAAATTGAAAGCCCGCGAAAAATTTAAAAATTCAAAATTTGACCTTAACTGTGATCATTTAACAAAATGGAACTCTACGTTGTGTTCTTTTAAAATGGCGGGATGCTTTTAGATGTAAATGGTGGACCCCAAGGTTGGAAAAGCACAGCTAAATAAAACACAAAATTTATGGAGGACACAAAATTATTTGTTCCTCCAGTGACAAAAAAAAAAGAAAAAAGAAAAATTGCGTTCGAGCCTGACTTGTGACTTGCCCTCAGGCTGCCCAGAGGGGGCCGAATTTCAATCACTGTTCAGCTCCAAAATATTGAACTTTGGATGAAATTTAAATGAAATCAAATTAAACGTTCTGAATCAATGCAAATATTTGAAAATCACAAAGTTAATAAAACAAAACAAAAACTGAATTAAAGCAACTAGATGCAAATACACAAGTTATTACGGACGTGTGAGTGCTCTAAGAGTGTGGCGATCGAACTATGTGGATTTCAATCTAGAGCACAACAAAAATACCCATAGGAGCGTTGTAGCATGAGCGGAGTTTGGGGCTCCCGGTCGGGGCTGTTCTCTATCACACCTTCATGACGGTCGCAAACTCGTGATTGGAAGTCACGGCTATAAATAAGCTGACAGCGTTACGTCGTCCAGACCGTTCCCCTGATATCTATACAAAACCTGCATCCCTTGTGCAGATGACGCGATAAATCCCGTTAGCTCGACTAGGAACCGCGCCCTCAGCTTCTGCTACGTGTTTCGGTGTTTTTTAACCTCAATTCCATTTTTAAATGTTCAATTTCAATGACTCTTATTCTTATTCTTATTCGAGATTAAGATTGGACATCAGATAATTTATATGATGGAAACATTCATCAACAAAATATTTACATAAAAAAAACTAGCAAAGATTTATGAAAACAAAAGATCTGGTGTGAAATAAACTTGTGCAAATAGTACGTGAGGTTAAAACTGCAGAGCATGGAAATTTACGTTCAATTAAAATTATAAAACAAAGAAAATTACTGAGGTTAAAATTGTGAGACAGAGAAATATTGTATAAGGTGAAGAATTGCAAAGCTAACAAATTTACATTAGATTAATATTTGCCACACTTTATCAACGATTCAAACAGAGTTTACATTATGTTAAATTATGTCTTGATCCAAGTGATTGGTTACTTAAAACAATTAGCTTTGAGAGTTTATAATAGCCCAAACAAAACACATGGTAAATAAACACAAAAATATCAAGTCAGCGCTGCGAGGAATAAGCGTCTCGGTGATGTAAATTTTAGCATTGTAAGGAAATGCCTCGGTGATGTAATTTTTAACGTTGGGAGGAAATGCCTCGGTGATTTCAGCGAAGCGGTATTTTTGAAATCCATGGCAACTACGCCCTTAGAATAATTTATAAAAGCCCTGTACATCATTGAGGTAGATTTCAACTTCATGTGTAGTTGATATGGCGTTATGTTTTCTTCTCTTTCTATCCTCGCTTGTGGAAAAAAGGGTGATTTGGCATCCAGCTGGCCAGATGTTTGGGTCGGGTATCCTGTTTAGGCTATGCAGGTTGACTGTGTTCGTTCCGACTTCCGATGATGGGTTTGGTGTTGATTTCTTTCTTTTTCGTGACTACTTCAGTGTATATAAACTGGTCGTTAGTATTTCTTTTTGCTAGATTGGTACACTCCGGATCGTCACGTTTCGTTTTCTGGTCCCTAGTAGTAACATTGGTATGTTTGTTGACTGTGCTGGCCAGTAGCGGCTCGTCAGAAAAGGCAGGGGAGGCAGTGCCTTCTCTAGAAAAATTGAACATTAGTTTTTGTTTTAATATATGTCAACTTCAAATATATTTTAAAGAAATAGCAAACAATATTTTTAGAACACTCTGATTTATTAAAACGGGTCTTGGTAACATATTTTGAAGTACCCGTTTTCGACAGGAATGAGTGCTGATGATTAGTCAAATAGTCAGTGGCGCTACCATGTTTTTGAGAAAGACAATAGTCAGCGGAGACACCGACGCCTACCATATTTACGCTAATCTGATCGATTTTTTTAATCTCACGGTGAAACTGCACAATGCTGAACAGGGACGCTGAATGCATTTAGTTGTGCATTCATTAGACCCGAGAAAAGGTGTTCACTGCATGTGCATTGCCAAGGTTATGTATTAAAACTTTTAACTTTACTTGAACACATTTGGTCATTGAAAGTGTCAGTCTTGCCATGCTGACAGGAGTATAGGAATCTCTAATACTCTAATGACCTTGCAGAATTTCTTCTAAAGTTTAAATTTAAGCGCGGTTTTCTTGGATGATCAATTAATTGTATGTCAAAAATTTACGCACCTCACATTTAGATTTGAGCAGAACTTTATTAATTTTTCAATGCTCTTGTCGAAAAAATCACATCAATTAATATTTAATGCTAATAAACCAAATTCTGCAGTCTTCACACGTAGTTGCTTTCTACCAAACAATTAAATGTTTTTTATTTGATAAGTATACTTATGTAGAGATATGTTATTGACCAAGTAGTTATATGTATTGTTTTCATAAAAAGGGATAACAGTCTGTTTTTAACTAAGTAATTGTGCAGTTAATTAATATCTGGTGATTTTTAAACAAAAATGTTACATTCCCTAACGAAAAAACCACGAGCCGCTACTGGTACTGGCCACAATTTATTGTTATATTATTTTATTCTGCTCGGAGTCAGTTGCAGAATGGGCGGTCCTTATTCTGTATGGATACAAGACTCCATCTACTGACTTTTATGAGAACGGGTAGTGCTAGTGAAGTTGTTAAATATGTCAGGATTGTGACATAAAAAAAATAATGTGGTGAAAAAAAAAAGAAAATTAGTCATCCTTTAATGTTAACGTTCGATAAACGGATGCAGATTTCAGTGAGACCGAAACAATGGTAGAACATTAAAAAATAATGAAATAAATGAAAAGACTATTAAATAAAAGTGTACAAATAAACATAATGCCAAAGCCAAAGTAAAAGTATCACCACTAAATCCTTTTTTACTACTCGGTGTAACAGTTATTCCAGTACAACTTACTGCTCAATACACTTGAAAGTAGGTTGAGCAAATAGAAATTTAGTGTAATATTGATTAGTAAGTACATTGGTAAACGACGTGTTACCTAAAAAATATATGCCACCAAAGTTATTAGATTTTAGTCTAGTACCTATATTTTTGAGTAAAGTTAATTTTCTATATAAACATTAAATCATTTCTAAGTTCAAAAAACTTGTAAAGAGTTTCTTTATTTCTGAAGTATAACCGATAACCACAATCGTCTTCTGGCATATTTTTCAATAGCGTTATATCTGAATACACCTTCAACGCTTTATTTTTATAACTTTTTATGTTTTTTTATTTATAAGGAAAGAAAAATGAAGAGTGTAACTAGAAAATTCGGAACTGTTATCTTCTGCCTCTGATAATGATGGAATGAGTAATAATGTAGCCGAAGTCTGTTAATGTCATTTCTGAATAGATCGAATTCTAGATTGGTTTCGAATGTTTTGTAGAAAAAGGCAAACATTTTTCAATTTTGTTTGTATATTTTGAAATATCGGAAGAAGTTGAAGACGAAATAGAGAGATTTTTCTATCTTGAAGTCAAGTCGCTTCGATAAGATAAAGAATAGAATTGGACTTGGAATAATTAATAATAATAATAATAATAATAATAATAATAATAATCATTTATTTCCAACAGGCAAATTACACCCAATTACTGGAAACAATAAAATACTTAGTTCTAACAAAGAATGTAGGCATAAACTTAAAATTAAACGTATTTAGCCAGAAAAAAATATATTAAAGTGAAAAAGAAACAAGGGAAGGTAAAAAAGAAAAAGTTATTTCTCAAAAACCGTAATAACAATTTCCGAAATTCTATAAATGGAGTCAAAATGAATATCACATACACTGTTTAAGCTATTAAATAAATCCATCATCAGCGCTATCGGTGACTTAACTAAAACATTAGTTCTTTTAGGTGCAGAATAAAAAGTACGTGAGTTCCTTGCGCACATGCGAGGCACTAAAAAACTAAGTTTATTTAAAAGATAAATGCAGTCTATTCGGTAGTTGACAAGATTGTAAAGGAAGCGAATAACACTTATAGCACGTCTGGTATTTAAGGTTGTTAAGTTAAATCTTGCCAAAAGAAGCGAATGATCAAGACCAATAGGGGGATAAACACCATCAACAACATAAGAAATGAATTTAAGGAATTTCCTTTGCAACGATTCAATGTGATCTTTATGAATATTGTATATAGGGTACCATATCAATGCACAGTATTCCAGCCTGGATCTAATCAATGATGCATAAAGGAGTAGCAGAACAGATGCATCGGTGAAATCTTTGCAATTCCTATAAATGAAACCATAAGTTTTGTAAGCCATGCCCAAAGTATCAGAAATGTGATCAGTGAAATAGAATTTTTGATCAAATAGAACACCGAGGTCCTTGATTGAATCAACACGATTTATAACCTCTCCATTTAACGAATAATCATGTAGTAATAATTTAGATTTTCTCGAGAAAGTCATTACATTGCATTTGGATACGTTAAGGGTTAAGCGATTTTGTGCACACCAGTTTGAGATAATGTCAAGATTTTTTTGCAAAATGAGAGCGTCACCAGGAGCACAAATTTCAAGGTAAAGTTTCATATCATCGGCGAATAACAATTTACCACAAGAGATATCATCAACTATATCATTGATGAATATGAGAAATAAAAGTGGGCCTAAGTTTGACCCTTGAGGTACCCCAGAGGTTGGAGAAAAGCTTGAGGAGTAAAAGTTACAGTATCTGACAAATTGTACTCTGTTGAGTAAATAAGATTCGAGCAGTGATAATAAGGACTGAGTGAAGCCGTACGACTGTAATTTGTTAAGAAGAATGTAATAGTCAATTTGATCAAAAGCTTTTTGAAAGTCTGTATAGACAACGTCTACTTGACCTTGTTTATCAATGACTTCGGATACAAATTGGCTAAAACAGGCGAGATTTGTAACAGTAGATCGTTTATCGACAAAACCGTGTTGTTCAGTTGCTAGTAAACTTTTTATTTGAAAATAAATGTGTTTATAAATTACTGACTCGAATATTTTAGAAAAATTGCAAAGTAAAACTATTGCTCTGTAATTAGGAATTAATGTTGGATCGCCCTTCTTAAAAACAGGGGTGACACTGGCTTTTTTCCATATTTCAGGAAACTGTGAATTTCTTATAATTAGATTGAACAGGACATGTAACGGTTTGACCAAAACACAAGCGCAGTCCTTTAAAATAAAACTTGGAATTCCGTCTATGCCGGCTGTAAGTGAATTCTTAGATCGCTTTAAGGCTTCTAGAATTTCATCCTCTGAGATAGATGTAACAGATATGGGAGTACTAGAGAAACATTTTGTTACAGCGCACTGCTGGCTAAAATCGGAAGCAATATATACGGAATTGAAGAAATCATTGAACGCGTTTATAATAGCGGAAGGACTGGACAGCTCACTATCGTTGTAGTACATTACCCCTGGAATTCTTGTGTGACCCTTTTTCTTACGAATATATTCCCAGAGCTTCTTCGGATCGGTTGAGAGCGAATGTTGAATATTACTCAAATAATGTTGGTATGCAGATGTGATGAGTGTCTTACAGAGTGATCTGTAGTATCTGAATTTGATCAAATAATGTTCAGTTTTGAAACGTTTATATTTTTTATGAAAAGAATATTTCAACTTTAGCGAGTCAATTATCTCACGATCAAACCATGGAGGGTATTTGCGACAATTGTTGGAATTAATTCTATATTTGGGAACAGACTTGGTAAAAATTTTGTTCAAAGCGTTATAGAAAGAAGAACAAGCAACGTTTACATCCTTAATGTCATACAAGAAAGACCAATCTGCAGATAAAAGGTCTTGATACAATAACAAAAAATTAGCTTTCATAAAGTTAAATTGTTCTGAATCGGTGTTCGTGCTGAAATTAACAAATGGCTTTTTTATTACCTCAAAGCTTAAATCTAAACTTGGATGGTAGTCATCTTCAATGACAAGAGCGTGCTCCGATCGGGTCACATTACAATTAACATTAGCGAAAACTAAATCTAAGGTACAATTGAATTTGTTTGGCACGTTATTAAATTGGGTAAAGTTATAAAAGTGACTAAAATTATTTAAGTGTGTACTTATACTATCGTTGGACTTTTGGCAAAAATTTGGCGCATTAAAATCACCCAATACTATAACTCTGTCGTTGTGAGTTTCCTCAATATTACTAAGTATGTCAAGAAATAATTGGTAATCATTAACGGACACAGATGGGGTTATGTAAAGAACAAAAACAAATAAACAAGTACTAGTATCAAAAGAGATCTTCACGCCAACAATATCGATAAATGGTAGAGTATTAGTAATGGGGGAGAGGTCCAATTGAGAACACATATATTTACTTTCCGCAGCGAAAAGAACTCCACCGCCCCTTGAAACATGCGTCAACTGTTGATTCCTGTCTTTTCTAAAGACAACAAAGTTATCAGGAAAAAGTTCACTATTCTGAATTTCGTCGCTTAACCAGGTTTCACTTAAAGCTATAAAATTATAATTGCACATATATATTGTTATAAAAATAGTTAACTTTTGAGCGCAAACCTCGGACATTTTGGTAAAAACAATTGAGAGGAGTAGTGTAACTGGGTGGCGCTTTCAGTTTAAACGTATAATTTTAGGAGTGCCATTGTAATATCGAATTTTTAAATTAGATTCGCC